GTTATCGTTCGACAACCACAGGCGAACACAAAACAGTTATAATCGCGCTTCCAGTGATTTTCTTTCGGCTGAAAAGCGCACATTGTCTGTAAAACGGGTAAGTTTGTTTTCGCAAAAGATTGCGTATCGAAAGATATTGAAATACTTTTTTACACTTATTAATCGTTATTATTCGGAAAAGGCTTGCCAATTCCTACAGGGAAAATTTTTAAACCATATCTTACGTCATATACTGGTTATCTCTTAAGAGCAGTGATTAGGAAAAATCGCGCGTTTAAGGTTGACGTTGAGAATTCAGTTTCTTTGAATTTTGCATATCAATGCCCATATCAACGCTTGAATGAGCGACTAAACGAGTACTGAGAAAATGCGAAGTGAGCTTGTCAAACAAACCTATTACCGAAGAGCAGGTTCTGTTTATACGGTGATAAATTCTAATTTTATATTTGTTTTAACTATGATGACGAGTTTCGCAACAGCTGTGTAACCTTTGACTCTTATGTATGATCTTTCATATATTCATTTGCACTTGTATTACTATCGTTTCGTTAGTAAATGGAAGCGGGTTTTTCTGTTAATGGAAACTCGGTATCAAACATTCATCACACTTATTCTTCAGGTTCTCGCGCGAAATGAATTTTTTGCTCGGTTCTTTCACACCATTGCTCTTACGACTTAGAATGCTATTGTGAACAAATATTACACTTTGAATGTTTTCTCCTCCAAAGATAATAGTAACTCTACTGTAAGCTCTCTTATCAACAATGACGACATCTGGAAATCTCGCATGAGAGAGGTAAGGCCTATAAACTCACAAGGCAGTCTTGAAGTTGCTCTGAATTTGCTTCAAACAGCAATTATCCTAATCATACTTGAATTAATGCCTTGAGCCCCGAGGAAGGGAATGGGCTGGAATCATAATCACAGCCCATGTTATATCTTCATTTCACTGATATCAACAGCTTTGCAAACTGTAACAATGAGCCAATTCTTAAAGCGACAAAAATGCAAAGAATTTCCACGTGAAAGCAAAAAAAGAAAAACAACAACAGCAACCAAAAGGAAAATGCCGAGTAAAACGGCTTACTATGACATTTATTAATAAACAGATAAATGTATAGGGTTGAAATAATATCAATGTTTTGCGCAATTAATAAAAAGTAAGACGAAATAATGTAGGCAACATTTTCTCGCAACTTGTTTCACAGTTATGTTGCATCGCAACTCGAAAAGTGTTTTTGCTCCTATTACCACCCGCGTTACAAGTTGAGGCAATATGTAACACAAAGTTCATCTCCCGTCTACTTCAAGAAGAACTAATCAATTCCCTTATTACTTTCAATTTCAGAATTTTCTTTTGTTCTCTTTTTAGATACAAGGCGCCATAATGGTCTCCTCCTTGTTTGAAATCGTGATCGGTTTCACTGGCCTCATTGGGTTTCTTCTTCGCTTCATTGGACCGTTGACCATTGCACCTACAATCACCCTAGTTGGAGTGGCACTCTTCCAATCGGCCGCAGACGAGGCTGGTAGGTTAACTGTTAAATGTCGCTTTTGTTAATTACACTTTTGGTTCTAATGTCTAGTCAATTTAATTGATTGACTCATCTCTCATTTTTATAGGTACACACTGGGGAATTTCGATGACGTAAGTATTTTGTGCCCCTGCGACAATCCATCCTCTCTGGTACGATGAATGTGAATTAGAAAGAAGTAAAAACCTTATCTTTTCTCCCGTCCGTTTCCGTTCTCCTTGGCTTCACTGTCTTTATCACGTACTTCTTGGTCATTCAATCCCTAGTATACGCGTTCGCAGCTTTCAGCGGAACAGGAGTTCTGCAGGGCTCATACTCCAGTTGTGCTGGGTGGAGTCGTTCTGTACATTATTAGAAAAGAATTAAGCATGCGCGCGCAAGTTCTCCTTTCCAATTTGTCTTCTCTATTTGTGCAATCTTTATCCTCTTCAGTAGGGTGCGGTTTTGCCTTTCTACTTCTCCGTTTTCCTGAAGCCAAAATGGAGTGACTAGTCTGTGTTCAATGCGTTCTTCTTAAAAAAAATTACAGAAATCTTCACTTGTAAAGAGGGGTCCATTGTTAGTAGTGATAATAACAGGCAGTCCATGGGGAAGGAATATCTTCCTCAGAGTTGCAATGACCTTGTCAACAGTTGTAGACCTGAAGACTTCTAATTACATATAGCGACTGTAGTAGTCAACAACTACGAGGATATGGTTTCCTGACGACAGAGATGGTATCATAACGTCGCTGACATGCGTTGCCATGGACCTGAGGGCAATTCAGTCCACTTGAGAGGTTCTGGTGGCTTAGGCATACTGACCATCTGGCCGGGAAGACAGGTCTTACAAAACATTTCCAAATCCTTGTCACACCCCGACCAGCACACTTTGGTACGAAGTCAGCTCTTCATGGACACTATTCTTGGATGACCCTCGTGAGCAAGATGCAGGAGTTGATCACGTAAACTAGAAGGAATAATGATCCGTGTTCCCCGCAGTACTAATTTTCCTATAACGGAAAGTTCATTTCTGGCCAGCAGGTATCGCTTGTTCTCATCTCCCATCAACAATGAGAAACGCACGCTCCCTATCGGGACTATCCTCAGAGTTAATCTCATTTACTGATCGATTGATAGTTTGGTTGCTATCGCCTGGGTGTCTTCTCATTTGGGCCTTTCGCTTTTTTAGTTTTACAGTACTTAGCAAAATGACCTACCTTGTGGAATCTTTGGCATTCTTTGTTTCTGGTGGAACATCGCTTGTCATCCTGAGTGTGTTCAGTTGTATCACATCTGTAGCATCTCTTCTCTTTAGGTTTCTCTTGGACGGACTTTGATACTTCCTTTTCTCATTCAGTGTAGCAAGTTAGTTATATCATCTTGAAGTCAAATATCAGTTGATATTTGATAAAAATCTAGATAGAATTGACCTGCCTTGTCAAATTTGTTAACCTTAATTTATCGTTTTATGTGTGTTTCAGGAGTACCGTGTTAGTAACCCTGTTTTCACAGTACCTTACCAATGTCAAGATTCCAGTGCCCGGATATAGCAAAGAACGGGGAGGTTTCTATGTTGGTCGCTTCCCGTTGTTCAGATTATTTCCGGTGAGAACAGGTGGACATTTTTTTTACATTTCTTTCAGAAGTCTTTCCATACCTTATCACTTGTCTCGTGGTTTGCCACATAGGTTATTCTAGCAATAGCAGTATCGTGGGTAATTTGTGCCATCATCACTGCAGCGGGAGGCTTTCCTTCTGATCCCAGCATTCCTCAGTACATGGCGAGAACTGACGCCAGGGCTGCTGTGGTGAAAGAAGCCAAATGGTTCAGAGTTCCATATCCAGGTAAGTTAAAGTAATGAGCGAGCGTAAATAACTATTTCTGTACTCTCTGTCGCTAGTGTTGTCAACTCCCGTTGTACTTTGGTATTCTTCCAGGTCAGTGGGGAATGCCTACTGTCAGTGTTGCAGGGGTGTTTGGGATGCTTGCTGGGGTGTTGGCCTCCATTATAGATTCTGTGGGAGATTACTATGCCTGCGCGAGAATATCAGGAGCGCAACCACCGCCAAAACACGCCATCAACCGTGGAATTGGAATAGAAGGTATTGGATGCCTCTTCGCAGGGGCTTTTGGGAGTGGAAGTGGTACAGCCACGTACAGTCAAAATATTGGGGCCATCGGGATTACTAAGGTAAACGCTATCAACATACTATTTGTATTCGACCAAACAAAAGAAAGTATCAATCACCATTCCCGGAGTTGTCATTTGATGTTTATGCCGGGTCATCCCATCGCCAAACTTGGAATTGGTTAGCAAGAAAGCAAATTAGATTTCATCCAAACGAACGGCAAACGTCTTTGAACCGACTTGTGAGTGGCTGCATGCTTGGTGTCGTTTCATCGTCTTATTCCATTGGTCAAGTCAACGGCTACTAAACGTCTCAAAACAGTTCTCAATGACAGCCCTAATAAACACCATTTTTCATCCTAGGTAGGTCATGCTGCTCCCAACCCGGGCGAAATTCGTGTAGCTTTAAGGATGACTCTCTAGTCTGAGTGTCGACCACGGTTCCAATTCCAAGAAGATCATGTGCGGTGTTTTAAAAAAAATCGTGGAGTATTGGCTTAGTCCGGGTACGGAAGTATCGATATATTAGGAACAAACACAGCCTGAAAACGCGGGAAGGAAGAGCAAACCATCCTAAGCAAATGTGCTCAAATTAAACTGACATCGTGGGCTTTCGGCTTTTAGTCAAAGGCCTTTTTTTTCCTGGAAAGCAAACCATTACCGATTAAATGTTAAATTCCTAAGAAATTCTGTATAAAACCTTTTCTAAGGACTTGCCAAACACAACTGCTGAAAGCACCCTGCTCAGTTCCATAGTCCATAGTTCGTAAGGTAGATACGAAACAAAGGCAGTGGAGCACCCAAAGAAAACGCAAAGCAGCAAGTCCTAACGACATTTCAGCAAGTACGTCCATGCATCTACCGGTGAACCAAAGCACCCTTCATTTTTTTATGATAGGATAGCAATGGAGGGGCTAAGAGATTGGGGGGCGGGAGGGACATGCCAAACATTATTGCTTCAAAAATGGGTGCGGCCATGCGAAGGGAGCGGCATTGATAGCGTTTCTGAGGTTATGAAAATGTACATGTTCCGTGGAGCATGCCCCTCCGACCTCTATACCGAACAACATTATCTCAACTCATCCAACAATTTGGTCGCACGGCAGATACCGACCTAACGCCCATCGAGAAACAGTTCATCAGTGCAGTTAAACCAACCTAAATTGAAGGCGTTTTTTGGTTTGTTAGGTTGGCAGTCTTCGCGTCGTCCAGTTTGGAGCTCTTGCAATGATGGTTGTTGGTGTTGTCGGTAAAATTTGCGCGGTATTCGTCAGCATCCCACAGCCTATTGTTGGCGGAGTTTTAATGGTCATGTTTGGAATGATCGCCGCTGTTGGAATCTCTAATATCCAGTTTGCTGACATGAATTCCTCCAGAAACTTGTTCATCGTTGGATTTTCCATTGTGTTTGGATTAGCTCTACCATATTACATGAAGACTCACCCGAACGCGATTGACACAGGTATGATTTACAATGCTAAGTGGCGATTGACTAGCATCCCATCCAAAGGAGAGTAGAATTACTCCTCGTCGTTTCATGCTACAGAATGTGGAGATAGGCGTCGGCCCGGTTGGCCGCTTGGCTCAAATGCAGACTTTACCTCCACCGTTTTTTGCAATAATTGTCGTGACGGTTTTCAGAAAAATATTTCAGAGATGCTTTTAATTACGTTTCTGTACGTGTGAGTCTACTATCAGAAATTAACAGCAGATTATTTTATTATGTAGGTATTTTGGAAATCGATCAGATACTGACGGTCCTGTTCAAAACAAGCATGGCCGTGGGTTGCATTGTTGCACTAATTCTTGACAACACCATCCCTGGTACCATCGAAGAACGCGGGCTCAAGGCTTGGAGGAAACATCTATCAGATGAGAGCGATGAACAGTTTCAAACAGCTTCTATTAAGATCTATAATCTGCCGTTTGGTCTCAATCGCATCAGTAGCTCCAAAGTGGCCAAGTATTTGCCTTTCCTGCCGTACAACGACGAAGATCGCTCGCCAACAGCTAATGAAGAACTGAAGGACGTTGATTCTAAACTGTAAAATACAGTAGCAGTTTTACGGTCTACATGACTGGGATTTTTTCGGGTTAATGCCTGGATAGAGTATTCAGAAGGTCTCACTGGGGTTAACTGTTAGCGGTAAAACGGGCCAAACCTTTAGCCCTTAGGCGTGAAAATTGGGAAATTTTAAAAGTTAGCTGTAAAAAATATAAAGCGACAAAAAATTAGCCACGAAAGTAAAAGACTCAAG